ACAGATTTTCGCGCCGCCAAGGTCCGGAAATACGTTTTACAACGATCCCGATGCGATCACGCGATGCAACGCAGACTGGCGCCTTGGATGCATTCTTTTCTGGTGATTGTACAACACTGGGAACACGCGCAAAACGACAATTGTGCGTAAAATACCCTAATTGCCTGACAAGGCACGTAATTATATTTTTTGGGACACCATAAGCTACACCCCACGCGATGCGCGATGCTCTTCTCATCTAAATGAGCCGTCGGTTGCGAGTTGTTTGAGCTCCTTAAAGAAGCTTATGCGTAGATTTCTTGTTTTAGCGATCATCCAATAGACAGCTCGCCGACCAGACGCCTTTGCAGCCTCAAAATGCATACCAGTGTGAAGATATACGCTTATACCATATAGGGGTACTCGACTTTTGATCTCTCACCCATCTGTAAGACGCACCACCAGCAAATTAAAATTTAGACGGCGGCGAGCTCCAAAACCAAAATCGAGAATACAGGTCTTCATAATTCGGCCAAACTCTCCCACAAGAACGCGAGCATGGAGAAACCACGAAAAATGTTAAAAAAGAGCAAGATCCGTCTGTTGGTTAACGAGCAATGAGCAGTTTTGGATTTAATTTCAAGGGCGAATTGCACGGGAAGAACGCGCCCATAGAGCCGCGCCGACGCGCCCATTAGCAAGAAACACTCCACATGCGTGGAATTGATTAGGAACGGGAGCGCGTAACTCGACGACTGACGCGGTTTATCACGTGTCGAAAATGCGCAGCCAAACTTTGCTGCATATAAAAATCTGTTGAAACGCATCTTTTTTAGTGATCCCACATATCCACGTATGCAGCAAGCCGTGCTCTTTCTGATGAAATAATTTTCAGAGCACTGAGCCCAGCTCTCGTCGACTTTACCTTGTGATGACAAAATCGAAGGTTTTCGCGTTTTACGCGCAAGGCAGCCAATGGACCTGTGGTTTTTCTTTCGTTTTCGTTGGTGAAAGAGGTGTGGTTATTACGTGCTTGAATGGCGTGGCGAGATGAGGACCTAAATTTTACCAATTTCAAATCCATGACTGTACCCCTTGGAAAATCTGTGCTTTTCGAACATCGTACTTGCGCGCCATCCTGTGATCGTAGAGTCGCCAAAGTGGTCTCATTTGAACGAGAAGGCTTGATAGATTCAGCTCCATGAACAAATAGGCCTGTAGGTTGATAAGTCTCTGAGAAATGACCAAAAAAATCATAACAAGCTCTAATCGCGATAATCTCGGCAACCACCTGAGCAAATGTTCAGTTTTACCACCTCGTAACGCGTCTGCCATATCGGTAACCCAAAGCGTATGCGTGCATTTCGATGCACATCAGCTCAAGCAGTATTAGATCAGGCATCAAAGTGCCAAAATACGCCAATTCAAAGCCATTGGTGTTACAGCTATCCCATCTTTGTCAAACTTGGACCAGGCATTATTCTTGGGCATTGAAAGCAATACAACGAGTTGCAAGCGCTTGTCTTCTGAAACTGGGCGAGCAAAAAGGTCAATTTTGCCGCCAATTGCTATTTTAACGCGCACTGTCGGAAAGAGTGTAGCATCCGGCTGACAAAAAAAAACATGAAACGATTGACTATCATCAACGGCAGCCATCACTTGTTTCAAGCTATAGACAATATGAGCATGTTGATCAAAAGTTATGCAAAAAATATAAAAAAGACGCGAGGGCGGGGTTTGAATACGAATCTTTTTTTTTTTTTTTTATGGCCATTGGGCGGCGCCCATTCATCGCTTCTTTCATTCTTCTCCCACTTTTTTTGTTCTCCATGTCGCTCTGCTTGGATCAGCTCCTTGAACAAAAGAAGACGGCGCCCTTTACGCTTGTAAATGACTCGATTCAGTGCGCGGGCGTGCCTCTGCTCGCGGCGTTTGTGCAAAAGGCGCTGGCGCTCGATCAGCAAGTCATCTGTGTTTTGACGGAGACGTCGCCGCGACGGTGGCTGCAGCACCTGAAGCAGTCGCCTGGGTCGCCGCACCGCCATTTGTTCATCATGGACGCCTTTTCGGATCCGGAAGGATGGGACAAGGAGCATGTGCTCCAGCCGCAGCAGCAGCGCATCACGCTGGACCGCAACATGGAACGCCAGATCTTGCCCACCATCATCAATCGCATCGAACAGGCGCCAAACACACTCATCGTCATCGACTCTCTGTCGCCACTGTCCTTGATCTCCTCGCATCGCACATTCCAGCTTGTCAAGGCCCTAGTTTCGTTCACATCAGGTACAATGGGTGCTTCCGTTTTTATTTTAAATACTGACAATGCCCTTATTCGGTTTTAGACACGATTCGCGTGCTTGCGGCTTACCATCATGACCAGCGCGCGCCTGCCGCGGCATTGCCAGGTCTCGGCGCGTCGCTGAATCGACTTGCATCAGTTATCATCACGCTGGACGCGGTGCCTTTGGCGCAGGCGGACGCGCAGGCGCGATTGACTGGATTTGTGGCGCAGGACACGTTTGGGTACATGAGCGTTGGCGCAAACCAGGCGACGCGCGGCGCACTGGCCAATATCGAGTGGCGACGCAAGAGCGGCAAGGTCATTTATGAGACAAACCACTTTTACATGCATACCCAGCGGCAACAATGGGTGGTTGCCGCCTTTAAGCACGCCGATGACGACGCTTTTGACGATGCCGCGGCCACGGCGCCCGAGCCCATCGCCGACCCCACCGCCAACCTCTCGTTTAATCTCAATCTCACCGACGAACAACGAAAGGCAAAGGATAGTCTCGTTTTGCCATACCTCAAGGCACAGCAGATCGAAATTGACCAGCCAGGCATCCACCCACCCGCGGCCACCGCGACACAAACACAGCCTGTCGGCGGTGCCATCTTTTACGAGCCCGATGCCGCAGATGACTTTGACGACGAAGACCCAGACGACGATTTGGACATTTAGATGCCCCCTCCACCCCCTCTCGCTTATTTTTTTTCCACCTCATCTGTACATACAAAATTTCATCATGATTAAAATGGGCAATTCTCGCTTTGAATTTTCATGTGTGGAGAAGGGTATGATTGCGGGGCATCAAAATGGCCGCGGACGCGGCAAAAGAGGGCAACCAAGCTTCTTTTTTTTCCCTTTAACTTTTTTTTTTTTTTTGAAACCCGGGTGCAGACCCCCATGCAACGATCTCTTTGCCGCTTTTCTCCTCTCGTGAAACGCACCCTCGCCATGTCTGAAGAACGCCAAGCCGAAATTGTGCAAAATTTGACCGCTGTGCGCACCGCTATGGCCACCGTCCCGCACAAGCCCAACGTACAGCCTGAAGCGAGCAGCTCGAGGACGTGACCCTTGCTGACATTTTTTTTTTTTATAGGCGCGCCTCGTCGCTGTGAGCAAGTACAAACCTGCAGAGGACCTGCAATTCGCCTATGACGCTGGCCAGCGCCACTTTGGCGAGAATTATGTACGAATCCTCATGGGGAAATTCCCCAATTGGACCCTCACTGACTCATTTGTCGTCATTTTGTAGGTGCAGGAATTGGTCGACAAGAGCGAAAAGGTAACTTGCGAGGATTTTGTGTTTTTGGCACAGCATCTGATGATATCGGATGACTTTTTAGCTGCCTCGTGACATTGCATGGCACTTTATCGGCCACCTCCAGAGCAACAAATGCAAATTGGTCGCTGGTAAGAACAAAAAAAGTGGCGCGCTACCAGCATATCTCTTTGATTGCCGCAGCTTGCTCATATTTCTTTATCTATTTTTGATCAGCCATCCCTAATCTTTTTGTCGTTGAGACGATCGACAGCATCAAAAAGGCTGATGCGCTCAACAAGGCGTGCGTCAGCTGCAATCGCGGGACGCCACTCAAGGTGTTTGTCCAGGTGAACACCAGCAACGAGGACGCCAAGAGCGGCGTCGACCCAGAACAGTGCACGGAAGTGTGTCAGCATATCATCGACAACTGCCCGCAGCTCGACCTTGCTGGTCTCATGACCATTGGCATGTTTGGCCGCGACCCTTCAGAAGAAAACCCGGATTTCAAGGTAAAAACGATTCAAACGGGATGAAAATCTGGCTGGTTTGCCAGACACGTCACGAAATGACACCCTGATCTTTCTTTTTTACCTTTAATTCTTTGATGCAGTGTCTCGTCGACTGTAAGGCTGCCGTGGAATCCGAGATTGAGGGCCGTGATTTGGAATTGAGTATGGGCATGTCCGCGGATTACTTGCAGGCTCTCAAGGCCGGCTCCACAAACGTGCGCGTCGGCACCACCATTTTCGGCTCTAGACCAAAGAAATAAAAAAAGACCACCCTCTTTGCATAGAACGCATAATTATTCTTTTTTTTCAAAGAAATGCGTCGACCAGAGCACTACAATATGAAATGCGCGCGCTGCCATAGTGCCAAGTATGACTTTTGTTACCGGGTGTGAGCAAACGTCGCGCCCTGGCACCAAAAAAAAAAAAAAAAAAAAAAAAAAAAAAAGCCGGTTTCCCGCTCAAAGTCCACAAACACGCTCTTGTCTTGCATCATTTACTCGTTATTCAGAGGAGTGACACGCCGCTCTTACACTTTGGAAGCAAGATGGCAGGCTCAACAAAGCGAAAACATAACGGGCGTATAAAAAAAGGAGGAAAGTAAAAGGATATTTGGCAATAGTGAGCCGTAAATCCCCATGATCACCTCATTAACACTTGAAACGAATCAAGGTCAGCCTAGCGACATTGTCCTAGCCTTGCAGCCGACCTTTTACCTGGAACAACCCACGAAAAAGAAGCGGAAGAAGAAGAGGAGGCAACTGGAGCGTGCGGACTTTTGCTGACATGCTCTTTTCGGCTATAATAAAATTCCATGGAAACACATTCAAATCACCCGATTTGCAGCTCAAATGAAAGCCAGAGACTCAGAGCACATGCTAATGGCTAAAAATTGGCTGAAAACCCGAAAAAAATATTTTTTCCAATTGCGCCTTGGAGGCCTCGTTTCCCAACTTTTCAAGCCGGGCTTGTGGTAGAATGGCAATACACGTCTTTCGGGTGGACGAGATCCAGGTTCGATTCCTGGCTGGCCTGCTCGGTTTTTTTTAGGTTTTTCTACCTTTTTTGTGTAACCTCCCTTTTTTTTTACGCCAACGCCACACGATCTTGCACATTCAAGCGTTTGCGTTTTTTTTTTTCGCACTGCTTCTCAATTTGCCTGGCTTTGTCGATGGCCTAAAGAAATGGCACGTCGAGAAAATGCTTTTTGAAGGGCCAGATGGGGCTGACATCCTTTCAAGGCACGCCATCGCTTGCCGTTCGCTTGCGCCTCGGCATCAGTCATTTCACAACCCTCTTGTGACTCTCTCTTATTTTTCAATGGTCACTCTTTCACTGTCCCTGATTTTTGACAAAAAAAAAAAAAAAGAGGGAGAGGGCCGCATTGGCTGCACTATCACCGATTTTTTTGCAAGAAAAAAAAAAAAAAAAGACGCTGATGTGCAGTCGATGGCATCGTAATTTTCTCTGTGCACGTCGAGACACTATGTCGGTAAGTGCAAGACATCACACTCTTCCCTACCTCACCAGTCCCAAGCTCGTTTTATACTTGACATCTACAAGGTGCTGTGAAATGCTTCATGGTTTCATAATTGTAGCCCCTGAATTCAAATGCGCCGTAAAAAGCGGGCGATGAAATTCAATTTTAAAGCGTGCCATGCATACAGTATGTCTACAGATGAACTTGCATGTCGCGTGGCAATTAAGCGTACAAGTCTTATCACAGTTCTTTTTTTTTTTTCTTTACTCTCACAGAAAAAAAAAAAACTGTTTTCACCTTAATTCTGGAACTCGCGATATACTAACCATCTACAACAGGCGCGCGCGGAATTTTGAGAGACCCATTTTTGCAATTTTCCGGCATTTTTTTGCTAGGCTGTCTCGGTCTCGAGTTACACATCGCATCCACCATCCAGGAGAAGGTGGCCTGGCCACCAAACACGGCATTCCAATTACCTTGGTCGGCTGCAAGGTATGGCAACAGCGCAACACCGTGAAAAAAAAAGTTCACAACAATAGGCAAATTTACGCGTTTTTTTTATCAATCGCAGTGACCAGGTGCATGCCATCTGCCATGTCACTGAGTGGATTTTTTATACCGGTCAATTTGACGCGCAAAGAAGAAAAGAGTGAAAAAGGGTCGCCACGACAACCGGCAAAAGTTGAAAATGGCCAGTGACCAACAAAAAATCCAGGAAAAGCATATTTTTTGCTTCACGACGCAGATTCTGTGCTCTTACGGTACGTCTACCAATTAAATTTGGCTGAGATGTTACTTCTAGCGTGCAGCGTGTACGATCTTTCGTTTAAAAAATCAATCAACAAGCGACCGAGAAATGCACAAAAATACGAATTTCATAATTGTTTTTGAGATTTTAAACCAAAAATAACGTGTTTTACTCGTGCATTTAATGACAATGGATAGAACCTGACGCATTGTGCAAATTCAATGCTTGCAGGTTGCAGCAGCAAGCTACGCTGAACAAGAAATGGCACGCTTTTCCTTTAGAAAATGACAAAGCGTGTTTTTGGAACTTTGATGATCTATTGTGCCTCCAGAAATTTTTTTACAGCCTACGGTACCTGCCCGCCGATGAAAAATGCAGCATGGCATGAACTTTGTCCAGTGCGCAAGATGGGTGCGCCCGATTTTTTCTGAACCCACAAATTCCAAAAACACCAAATTCGGCCCATTTTGCGTTAACCTTGCCATCTACTTGGTCAATCTTGCTCAAAAATGGTAGCATCGCACTCAACGTGAAATTTTCAACAAAAAAGCTTAAACCCCCAAAGCGCCACGACCACATTTTAAAAATCCAGTGGTCACACATTTAAATCCCAAAAACGGTCAATTTCGAACTCCGAGTGATCAATGCATCCCAAACAGGTAACCTCAACAATTTGCTATTGGCAGGCAGACAAAATGGCAGGTCGCCCCATCCAAAGTAAGAAAAAAGCCCAAAGAGTGACGCATGAACGGCGACCGACTGTGAAAATTGCGTAATTGGGCAAGTTTTTTTTTTGCAAAAATATAAGGTTTGGCACTTCCAAATTAAGGTAGTGCGTGGATTGTATGGAATTTTTATATTTTATTTTGCACGTTTTTGTGTGCTGAGTGGTGGGCTGCAGGAGACTGGTAAAATGACCGATGCAAAAAGTTAAAACCCAAGATAGCGCGTCGCAAGTTAACCCATTAGATGCTTTTTACCCCTATTTATTAGTAAAACGCAATAAAAATTGGGGGTTGACTATACCGTTGTCGAGCAAATCGCGATCAAAGATTTTGGTAGAAAAATGAATTTTCTCTGCGATTTTTTGTCATCCATCTGTGAAACTAGTCTCATTCGATAGAGATTCAACAGGTGCCTTTGACCGTTAAAAGCGGTACAGTATGTGTTGTCCAATAAGTTGCCGAGAACATTGAGGTTGAAATTTTTGAAATGTTTGAACGGCTTTTACTGTACAAGCACGCATGCAAAGGTTATTACTGTACGGAGGACGGACAGAATTCCATGTTTGTGGCATTTTCAGGTAGACTTTTAATAAACTCTTGGTATCATAAGGTCAACTGGGTGGGTGGGGCTACAGAAATCATAGTTCTCCACCCAGGGGGTGGCGAAACTATTAGGGGGATTGCCCAACTTCGTCACCCCCCATTTTTATCAGAAAATCATAGACACTTGGACAAGCAATGGACAAAAAAATTTGGGATTTACAAATATTTTTGCCCGATCGCCTCTTGGATCACCGGGGTAACGAAGGTGTTGCAATCCCCCTAGTACCCCCGATACCCCTATAACAAAAATGCTTTTAAAAATGAGGAACAGAGGAAGCCTTTGATTTATTATGCCAATAGTTGGCAATTAACTTTCCGAACACCTCTTCTTGTTGTAATGCTTATGACTTGAAATTGGAAGCAATTGCCTTCCGCGAGCTTGGGTTCCAAGGTATCTCGCATAGCTTCACTGCATCGCACCATTAGATCATTGTTAAGTGTCAGAAAAAGATATTGCTTGCCTCTAAACAATCCAAATCCATATTGGAAGACCATGTACGACTCGCCCTCTCTTAAGACTTTGTAATCAGGGTTGTATTGTGAGACTCGTACAATCTCATTATTGATTAGATCAAGTTGTTGAGAAGGCAGTAATGCGTCTTGAATATCGGACATATCAAAGGCATTTTGGACCAGATTGACGCATGCCACAGCCTCACGTCGGTATCTACGAAGACGTTCTTCAGGCCATTCAATGTAAATGCCTTTGTGCGTGTCAATTCCTATTTCTTCGAATTTGACATTTATGTGAAGGTCTTTTCTAGAAGGAAACAGAGAATTGGACATACCTGGCACCAGTGTCATGGCATCGCAGCCATCTGGTCTCTTGTACACTTCATGCCGGTCAATGGCCTTCTCAGGTGTAAGATAAAAGCAATGAATCAATCTGTCATTGAAGCTGTAACTACCCAATAAACTGGGCACAAGCTCTTTTGGCACGTTGCTTTTGATCAGTCCTTGCTTTCTCTTGGTCAAAGAGTTCCACCAATGGCAATACGCAAAAGATTGTGTGCTTTCATCATACAAAGCCACCACTTGGCTCAATTGATCTGCAATCAAATGCCATTGATCTCTAAGAGGAACTTGAAAGGTGGGACACGCATTTAGACTTGAAGCAATAAAGGACTGCAATTCACATCGATACAAGGAAAATGGGAGCAAGTTTTTGCCATACACTGTCATCTCAATGCGTGTATATCCAAGATCACGGAAGCGTTTTACTTTGTCTACAAAAGATGGGCATGGATCAGCTACAAGATTGCTAAGACGTGAGCCAATATACTCGAGCAATTCTGCACTTTCCATGATTTGTATGAACTTGTTGTAAATTTTGACACGAGTGGACAGTGGCCGTCCTTGATAATCGCATACATCGGTGGATTGACGCTTAAATGAGATACAATTATCACCAACAGATTGACGATCCGGAATGATATCAGACTTGGCTACAATATTGCGGGAAACGACGTAATTCTCAATAATTGAACGATTTGAAATGCGACCGCAATCCACAGACATGTCAATGCTACGAAGGGCAACATTTTCCTTGCGCAATTTATCAAGCACGTCTTGCAATAACTCGTTGCAGAGGATCTCAAAGTCTTGTGTTCCGCGGAAAGTGACGTTAAGTTCTATACATCCAGATCGGTCGCGAACAAATTTGACATTGAAATTGATCTTGTAAACTTTGCGAATAAGTGAGACAAAAGATAGGGTTTTTTAATCTGAAAACAGCGTCACAGGAAAAGGAAAAGGGGAAATCTAAACAAGGTGGGATTTTATAGGCGAAAAAATGGGTGTGTGGCAGATTCACCGGCCGACACCGGACTCTCAGCTCGGTCTGAGCTCAAGCGCTAGGCACGTTGGTGCGGCGCCCTGTCCACAATGCACACAATGTGCATTGACGCGCCTAGCACCCCACAATTGGCGTGCCTGGCTGGTTGAGCTCATTGTTCTCGTTGTTCACATTGCCCCCTACCAGGCTGAATCTGCACTGAGCAGCCAGCAAGATAAGATGAGATGTATAAAATAAAGATGCATGTGCACTTGCATGAATTTAGACGCTCACTGCGCGTAAATATTTAAAAAGAAGCGAAATACGAAGTTTTTTTGGCTTCAATGCAAAATGGGCAGCGATGGATCGATGTGCAACATGTCAAGGAGGAGTTGATCAGACTCTATGTGTGACAAGAAGGCACTTTGATACCAACGTGTGAAACAACAACAATAAAAAATAAGGTGAACCGAGGAGATTTTTTCTTTTTGGTTCCTCTTTTTGCACTTGTACAGATAGTCTCAATGATTAATTGCTATACATGTGGAAATCCCTGGCACCCTAGATGCGAGTGTGTCAGCATCAGTGTAATTGTAGCCGTAAGGGTCACCAATTGAGAGAAAATGCATAAAATGTATGCTAACAACCACTTTTTTTTTTTTTTATTTACAATAAATAAAAATTTGGCTGGCCTTGACAGTTAGT